AGTCCTTTCGCACTCACAGCTGACTCCCCTGTCATTACCTCCCGTGGCCACCAGTCCCTTCGCACTCACAGCTGACTCCCCTGTCATTACCTCCCATAGCCACCAGTCCCTTCGCACTCACAGCTGACTCCCCTGTCATTACCTCCCGTGGCCACCAGTCGCTTCACACTCACAGCTGACTCCCCTGTCATTACCTCCCGTGGCCACCAGTCACTTCGCACTCACAGCTGACTCCCCTGTCATTACCTCCCGTGGCCACCAGTCACTTCGCACTCACAACTGACTCCCCTGTCATTACCTCCCGTGGCCACCAGTCTCTTCACACTCACAACTGACTCCCCTGTCATTACCTCCCGTGGCCACTAGTCCTTTCGAACTCACAGCTGACTCCCCTGTCATTACCTCCCGTGGCCACCAGCCGCTTCACACTCACAGCTGACTCCCCTGTCATTACCTCCCGTGGCCACCAGTCACTTCACACTCACAACTGACTCCCCTGTCATTACCTCCCGTGGTCACCAGTCGCTTCACACTCACAGCTGACTCCCCTGTCATTACCTCCCGTGGCCACCAGTCCCCTCGAACTCACAGCTGACTCCCCTGTCATTACCTCCCATAGCCACCAGTCCCTTCGCACTCACAGCTGACTCCCCTGTCATTACCTCCCGTGGCCACCAGTCCCCTCGCACTCACAGCTGACTCCCCTGTCATTACCTCCCATAGCCACCAGTCCCTTCGCACTCACAACTGACTCCCCTGTCATTACCTCCCGTGGCCACCAGTCGCTTCACACTCACAGCTGACTCCCCTGTCATTACCTCCCGTGGCCACTAGTCCCCTCACACCGCATGCAGGCTCTACTGTCATTGCACATGCAACGGTGGTATCGGTCAATGAATGAGTGTATATACACGTGGGAGGAAACCAAAGGACCCAGAGACATCGCACGCGTGCGAGGGGGCAACACTCTATCCCCGTACAGATGGGCAGGAGGAAAGCGTGGCGTTCACACGTGTGCTGTGTTCACCTGGCAAGCAAGAAGTTCAACATACGTACATACAGTTTAACAAGTGTAAGGTTTTCGCGACCAATATTATTCATAATCAACGTTTTTGGGTTTAGATCGTGTTATTTATAAATGTGTCGTAACCCTCCACCACCCGACACGGCCAATCGATAAAAAAGTGTCACGTTGACAAACGACAAATAGTTTACTGCTTTAGCCCACCGGTGTGTTGAAGCGTGAACTATTTTGTCTTTTGTCAACGTGACACTGTTTTACTGATTGGCCGTGTCGGGTGGTGGAGGGTTACGACACATTTATAAATAACGCGATCTAAACCCAAAAACGTTGATTATGAATACGTACATACATCTGTGCGGTGATCCACTAACCCCCGTCGCTGCGGGGGTAGCCACCACCACCGTCACGTCCAGGCTGAGAAGTGTGTTTAGTGTGGGTGTGAGTGTGTTAGTGTGAGAACGGGCGAGTGCTAATCCCTCCAGTTATAAGTGCCCGTGCGCGTCTTTAATCCGGCAGTCAAAGCACAGCGACGGGACGGAGTCGGCAAGAGGGCTCAGGGCGAGAGCTCACTGCACGCAGCTGGTGCGCGGTAGGGGGCTCACAGAGGGTAGGGGGCTCACAGACGGTAGGGGACTCACAGACACGCGGTAGGGGGCTCACAGACGGTAGGGGGCTCACAGACACGCGGTAGGGGGCTCACAGACGGTAGGGGGCTCACAGACGCGTCGTGCACCTGGAGCCAGGGCTGGGCAACCTGCGGCTTCGGAGCCGCATGCGGCGGCTCTTTGGCTGCCCACCCCCTCCTTGTGGCTCTGTTAGCTGCGCCCCCTTGTGGCTCTTTTGGCTGCCCCCCCTTGTGGCTCTGTTAGCTGCCCCCCTTGTGGTTCTTTTGGCTGCCCCCCTCTTGTGGCTCCTTTGGCTGCCCCCCCCCTTGTCGCTCTTTGGCTGCCCCCCCCTTGTCGCTCTTTTGGCTGCCCCCCCTTGTGGTTCTTTGGCTGCCCCCCCCTTGTCACTCTTTTGGCTGCCCCCCCCCTTGTCACTCTTTTGGCTGCCCCCCTCTTGTGGCTCTTTTGGCTGCCCCCCCCTTGTCGCTCTTTTGGCTGCCCCCCCTTGTCCCTCTTTTGGCTGCCCCCCCCCTTGTCACTCTTTTGGCTGCCCCCCCCTTGTCACTCTTTTGGCTGCCCGCCTCTTGTGGCTCTTTTGGCTGCCCCCCCTTGTCACTCTTTTGGCTGCCCCCCCCTTGTCACTCTTTTGGCTGCCCCCCCTTGTCACTCTTTTGGCTGCCCCCCCCTTGTCACTCTTTTGGCTGCCCCCTCTTGTGGCTCTTTTGGCTGCCCCCCCCCTTGTCACTCTTTTGGCTGCCCCCCCCTTGTCACTCTTTTGGCTGCCCCCCCCTTGTCACTCTTTTGGCTGCCCCCCTCTTGTGGCTCTTTTGGCTGCCCCCCTCTTGTGGCTCTTTTGGCTGCCCCCCCCTTGTCGCTCTTTTGGCTGCCCCCCCCTTGTCACTCTTTTGGCTGCCCCCCTCTTGTGGCTCCTTTGGCTGCCCCCCCCTTGTGGTTCTTTGGATGCCCCCCCCCTGTCGCTCTTTTGGCTGCCCCCCCCTTGTGGCTCTTTGGCTGCCCCCCCCTTGTGGCTCTTTTGGCTGCCCCCCTCTTGTGGCTCTTTTGGCTGCCCCCCCCTTGTCGCTCTTTTGGCTGCCCCCCCCTTGTCGCTCTTTTGGCTGCCCCCCTCTTGTGGCTCCTTTGGCTGCCCCCCCCCCCTGTCGCTCTTTTGGCTGCCCCCCCCTTGTCGCTCTTTTGGCTGCCCCCCCCCTCCGTGGTTCTTTTGGCTGCCCCCCTCCCTCTCATGCGGGCAGCCAGTTTAAAATAAAAAAATAACTGGAATCGAAAATGTAAATGTGTGTACGGATAATTCATTAGATATGTCGGGAGATGTGGTCACAGTGGAGTATCTTGGTGACCACAAAATGTACAGCAGTCGACCTGCAGTGCTAAAGAGTAGCAAGGGGTGGGGGAAACGACACTAAATTAGACGCCGTTTATTCCATCGCCGATTGTATTGCAATGTCGGATTGTGTCATATTCTGGGTTCTTTCGGTAAAGTCTCGTAGAAGGGAAAAACATTCAAATAAAAAAAATTCTCACGACGTTTCAAATTTTATTGCTGTGGTTTTCACACCTGATGATGATTACGTGTGCTGCAGTCGAAACGTCGTGAGAATTTTATCGTTTTATATTTCTATTATTTTATTGCTTTTCCCTTCTACGTGATTTTACCGAAAGAACCAAGAATACGAATCCCTGCAGTCACGAAAGCTTTAAATCGAAAACATTCAGATTGTGTCGTCTGCTGTGTTGCCCGCTGTGTGTTGTGCGCGCACAAGTAGCTCTGCGTGTGATGCGGCGGTCCAACTATTGTTGATCAAAGACACAAAAACGTTTTCTCTCTGCTTCGTCTTCGAAAGGTTTCCAACGCCTGCGCTGAGCAGAGCAGTGCGATGACAATTCGAAAGTTGCGTACAACGTGCCAGACGTCCTGTGTCGTGGTTGACCTGCCGCAGGCTGCATTGTCAATTGATTCCATCCATCTTCTTTGTTGACATTATGTAATCCTGGAATTCGTGTTGTAGTCGTATCGTTATCATCATCATCATCATCGATGTCGTAATTATGATCACACTGCGTCGTCTTCATCGTTGCCGTCACAACGCTACGTCGTTCTCAGCATCGTTACCATCGTCACACCACACCATCGCATCATCAATAATCGCACCACATCATCATCGTATCATTACCATCACCGCACCAACATCATGCATCGTACTTCATCAGCATCATTACCATAGTCACACCACATAATCATCACATCATCATTCATCACACCACATCATCATCTTCTTCATCATCAATGACACCACATCGTAATCAATCACACCACCACCCCACCATCATCATCACACCACATGATTATCACCACCACCACCATAACAATACATCACACCACATCATCATCATCATCATCTTTACCATCAAGGAGACCACATCGTAATCAATCACACCACCACACCTTCATCATCATCATCACCACCACATGATTATCACCACCACCACCATAACACTACATCACACCGCATCATCATCATCACCACACCAAACTCGGCTTTTTGTTGTTGTTTTGTTGTTATTCTCAGTTCATCCCGAGTCTCTGGCCTGGCGCGAGCTCTCGGAATCGCCCGCTCCAGGAGAAAGAGGGGAACGATGCTGGCGACACGCGCATTGCTGTTCGCATTGGGACTTCCCGCAGCCGCAATCACCTTCACCACAGGTGAGACGGACAAAATCAGCACCCTTACTTCACAGGTAATAGAATCTTCCCTAAACCGCCTTCACCGCAGGTGAGACAAACAGAATCAGATTCTTTATTTCATAGGTAATAGAATCTTCCCAGAGTCACCTCACCTGCACCACAGGTGAGACGAACAGAATCAGATTTTTACTTCATAGGTAATAAAATCTTCCCACAGCCACCTTCATCACAGGTGAGACGAACAGAAACTTAATTTATACTGGAGGAATCCGATTAGCTCTTTTTTCACCACAGATATCTAGTAGTGGGCAGGCCAGAACATTGCAACAACAAAAACACGACGTGAGTGCAACGTACAGGGGGGGGTGAGCGGGTGCAAAGTGCACGATTGATGTCGTCCTAAATTCAAAGAGGCAGCAGCAGCACAATTTTTTCCGACAGCCGCATGCACTTTCGTAGCTCCAAAGCTGCTGCTACAAACGTTGAATCGGCTGGGAAACCCCCCCCCCCCAAAAAAAATGTTGGTCCGCCTAATGGGTTAAATGACGGTCCTGTGCGCCAAAAAAAATCACCAGATGATCGGGGGGTGGGGGGGGGGTACGGGGGGGGGGTTGGGGGGTTAGGGGGGGGTTAGGGGGGGGGTGCGCTCCACCCGATCCACGCCCGACGTTGTATCCCACAGTGGAGCTTCTCTCGCCCGACGGCGCCACGCGATGTAACGGATCGGAGGAGCGCGTCTTGGGGGGCCTCGTGGAAGGCAGATCTCTGCTGGGGGTCCCCCCCTCTAGGACGATGCCCGTTCACCCTGCGGGCGGCTCGCGATGGACAGGTGCGTGCGACCCTGACGTTTACGAGTCCAGGTTCAACCCATCGTCAGCTTTGCCAGGGTGGTTATGGGGAGCGGTGGTGCTGCGGTTAGCACGCCACGTAACGGAACCCGGGTTCGGTTCCCGCTCGCGGCCACCAGCGCCAGTGACGATTGTTTATCCGAACCGGTCCTGAGCCTCACCTGGGTCGACTCGGCCTCAAATGAGTACCTGGTGCGGTCGTGTAAACATCGCCACTGGGGAGATAAAGGCGGACCCGGGTTGTGGTGCTGGTTCGCGAACAGCACTTGCCCCAACAGTCTGTTAAGGCTGTACGGGGGGTGGGGACTTTTGTTTTTGGTGGCTGAGCTGCACGTGGCTGCCCGTGATGCTGCACACGTGGAGGCGATGATGGTGATGATGATATTGCCAATGATGATGATGATATTGCCAATGATGATGATATTGCCAATGATGATGATGACGATGACGATATTGCCAATGATGATGATGATATTGCCAATGATGATGATGACGATGACGATATTGCCAATGATGATGATGATTATGATGACGATATTGCCAATGATGATGATGATGCTGATGATGATATTGCCAATGATGATGATGATGCCGATTATGATGACGATATTGCCAATGATGATGATGATGATTATGATGACGATATTGCCAATGATGATGATGATGCTGATGATGATATTGCCAATGATGATGATGATGCCGATTATGATGACGATATTGCCAATGATGATGCTCATGATTCTAATAAAGCTGCTGATGAGGCCGATTATGATGACGATGACTGATTATAATAATAATGCTATTGTCAATGATGATGATGCTCCTTATTAGGACAATGAAGCCATTGCCAAATGATGATGCTCATATATTCTAATGACGCTGCTGCTGCTGCTGCTGAGGCTGACGATGACGACGAGGTTGATGTCGATTGCAGGCCATGCTGATTCTGGTGCGTCGTTTCGTCGTGGACCCGGACAACTGCACGCAGAACGCGCTCGAGATCTACGAAGGGCGAGCCGACAGCGGTAACTGCTCCTTGACGCATGCGCGTCGCGAGTGATGGGCTGAAGGAGTAGGGGTGCGTGGCAAAAAATCTTCCGACTCTAAAATGTTGAACGAATCATGGGACCTCCTTTTGCCAGTACCGAAATATACTAATAGGGGTTTTTCCCCTTTTTTTTTCTGGCAACAAAACTGGCACGTGTTTGTTTGTTGTAGTATAGAGTTAGCCTCGTAACTTTTAATCCACGTTGTCTTATGGTTATTGTTTTATTATGTTTTATTTGTATTATTTTATTATTTCCATTCTACGTGACTTTACCGAAAGAACCAAGAAGATGAATCCCTGCAGTCACGAAAGCTTTAAATCGAAAAAATGTCTTATGATTGTTATTATTATTGGATCTTTCGGTAAAGTCACGGAGAAGGGAAACAATAAAATAATAAAAATATGAAGCAATAAAATTAAACTAATAGGGTTTTTCCCCCTTTTTCTTGTAACAAAACTGACACTTTTTGCAAGGAAGCATGCTTACATTAACCGCAATACTTGCAGTCAAATGCAAACCCCGAGCTCTCATTACTCTGATAGTGCGCTATCTTTGAACTGTGTGCGCCTTTTGGCGTCATCTGGTCGAACACCATATGAGACTAGGCTATAAAGAAAGCTGTCTCTGGTGTGGACAATCAGTTTCAAAGACATTGCATACATTATCAGAGTATTGTTTTTTGTTTGCATTTGACTGCAGCCCCACGTGATCACACACACACCCATACAGCCCACGAGATCACACACACACACCCATACAGCCCACGTGATCACACACACATAGACCCACACAGCCCCACGTGATCACACACACACATAGACCTATACAGCCCCACGTGCTCACACACACACACACAGACACACACAGACCCACAGCCCCACGTGATCACACACACACACTGACCCATACAGCCCACGTGATCACACACACACATAGACCTATACAGCCCCACGTGCTCACACACACACACACACAGACACACACAGACCCACAGCCCCACGTGATCACACACACACACATAGACCCATACAGCCCACGTGATCACACACACACACACTGACCCATACAGCCCCACGTGATCACACACACACATAGACCCATACAGCCCCACGTGATCACACACACACACACACATAGACCCATACAGCCCACGTGATCACACACACACACACATAGACCCACACAGCCCACGTGATCACACACACACACATAGACCCATACAGCCCCACGTGATCACACACACACACATAAACCCATACAGCCCACGTGATCACACACACACATAGACCCACACAGCCCCACGTGATCACACACACATATAGACCTACACAGCCCCACGTGATCACACACACACACATAGACCCACACAGCCCCACGTGATCACACACACACATAGACCTACACAGCCCCACGTGATCACACACACACATAGACCCACACAGCCCACGTGATCACACACACACATAGACCTACACAGCCCCACGTGATCACACACACATAGACCTACACAGCCCCACGTGATCACACACACACATAGACCCACACAGCCCCACGTGATCACACACACACACATAGACCCACACAGCCCCACGTGATCACACACACACATAGACCCACACAGCCCACGTGCTCACACACACATAGACCCATACAGCCCCACGTGATCACACACACATAGACCCATACAGCCCCACGTGCAACAACAACCGCCATTCGCCACTATGTGGCGGTGACGTCACCACGACGCTTGTGCCAGGCCAAGTGCACCTTGAGGCTATCACGTGAAGTGTCGAACGCCCGCTGGCAGGAGGTCACGGGGCAGACCCAGCAGGTGCCACGGGTCGACTGACCGAGATGACCGAGATGACTCCACGTGCTCACACACACCACGTGCTCACACACAAACATACACAGACCTTCACTGCCCCACGTGCTGTTACAGGCAGCAGCAACAGCAGCGGCAACAGCAGCGGCCCTCTGGCGCGCGTCTGCAGCGAGCACGTGGGAGGAGCAGCCACCCCCAGGACCATCATCGCGTCGAGCGGCAGTGAGCTCACGGTCTCGCTGCTGCTGATGAGCAGCAACGCCACGAACCTCAACATCAGCGTGGCCTTCAGCGCATTCACGGCCGGTACGGTGCAAGTGCCGTGCAACGTTGCCATGGGTAGGGGTGGTGGTGGTGGTGGTCACGGCAGACGGACAATATCGACGGCGTTAAACACATTCCTGCGGAGGGAAGCTGGTAGGAACGTTGCGTTGCTCGGTCAATGGCCTGCAGGGTCAACGGCGGCGTGGTGTATTCCGCAAATGTGGCCGACTGTGAGGGCGGGCGCAAGCCGGCGTGAGTAGGTTAAACGTTGAGTTTTATAAGGGCACCACGGGGTGACCAGCCCCCACCCGTCTGGGTCGCGATCGAACCCACCACCTCCTGTGAATCAGGCGAGGTAGTTAACATCTCACCACGGGGAGAGAGAGAGACACGCAAACTCAAAATACACAGCAGGCGCCAAGAGTTGGGCTTGAACCCACGACCTCCTGTACACCAGGCGAGTTAGTCAACATCTCACCACGGGGAGAGAGAGACACGCAAACTCCAAATACACAGCAGGCACCATTGGAACCTCATTTGCCAGTAAAAAATATGATAATTGGTTTTTTACCCTTCTATCTGGCAACAAAACTGACACCTTTTTACGAGGAGTCATGTTTGCATAGATCACAATACCTGCAGTCATAATGCAAACAATAAACATAACTCAGGACAGTGCATACAGAGTATTGTTTTTTGTTTGCATTATGACTGCAGGTATTGTGGTCTATGCAAACATGACTCCTTGTAAAAAGGTGTCCGTTTTGTTGCCAGATAGAAGGGTAAAAAAAACAATTATTACAAAGCAGGCGTCAAGGATTGGGCTCGAACCCACGACCTCCTGTGAACCAGGCGAGGTAGTCAACATCTCACGCGTGCACGTGCATGGGTGACGATTCCTTGCAGGCGTTGGCTGCCTGGCGGATGAGTTTGCGTGCACCAACGGGCGATGCGTGAGCGTGACGTTGCTCTGCGCCGGGGTCGACTTCTGTGGGGACGACTCCAACAATGCGGCCCCGTCCTGCCACGTCAATGCCTCCATGGGAGGCAGCAGCAGCAGCAGCATGGGTAGACGACACACGCCTTCACTCCTACCCCACGGCACACTATACACTACATTATACACTACACACTATACACTACACTATACACTACACTTTACACTACACTACACACTACACTATACACTACACTATACACTACACTATACACTACACTATACACTACACTACATACACTACATTGCTACAAACTACACACTACACTACACTACTACACTATACACTACACTACTACAAACTACACTACACTACACACTACACTATACACTACACTATACACTACACTACTACACACTACACTATACACTACTACACTATACACTACATTACTACACACTACACTATACACTACTACACTATACACTACACTACTACACACTACACTATACACTAGACTACGCAATACACTACTATATACTACACTACCCACTGCACACTACACTATACACTACTACACTACACACTACACTATACACTACTACACTATACACTACACTACTACACACTACACTATACACTAGACTACGCAATACACTACTATATACTACACTACCCACTGCACACTACACTATACACTCGACTACAAACCACACTATACACTACATTACTACACACTACACTGCTACACACTACACTACACACTGCACTATTACACACTACACACTGCACTACTTTGTGTGTGTGTGTCCCCTCCACCATCCCCCCGATGGCATTCCTCCGGGTTCTCTTGTTTGCTGCTCCTACAGCTGAAACAAACCCCAATACGCTGCAACTGCCATTGGCCAAAACTGATGGCGATGATTAGGCTGGTAAATTTTCACGTGAAAAGTCGTAGTAATAGGTTTTTACCCTTTCAACTGGTACAAAAACTGACTCCTTTATACAAGGCATCATGTTTGCAATAACCACAACACAAGCAGTCAAAACGCAAACAAAAAGAAACAACTCTGATGATGATAATGATATGCACTGTCCTTGAAGTTGATTGGTCCACACCCGAGACAGCTTTTCTTAGAGCCTCGTCTCCATTGGTGTTGGACCAGAAGACGCCAAAAGGAGACAAGGCTCTAAGAAAAGCTGTCTCGGGTGTGGACCAATCAACTTTAAGGACAGTGCATATCTTTTTGTTTGCATTTTGACTGCTTGTGTTGTGGTTATTGCAAACATGATGCCTTGTATAAAGGTGTCAGTTTTTGTACCAGTTGAAAGGGTAAAAACCTATTACTATATTTTGCCACTGGTAAAGGAGGTCTCATAGTGTGAAAAGTCGTGTTTATTGTTGCTACGCAGCCAGCCCAGCCCACCCAGCCCAGCCACCCAGCCCAGCCACCCAGCCCAGCCACCCAGCCCAGCCACCCAGCCCAGCCACCCAGCCCGACGATTTTAAATAATGATAACAATAACAACAACAGCACATCATAATAATGATAATAATATACCGCATTTTCTTGGTTCTTTCGGTAAAGTCACGTAGAAGGGAAATAATAAAATAATAAAAATTAAATTATAAAATAATTATATTTTATTATTTTATTTTATTATTTTATTTTATTATGTTTTATTTTTATTATTTTATTATTTCCCTTCTACGTGACTTTACCGAAAGAACCAAGAAGATGAATCCCTGCAGTCACGAAAGCTTTACATCGAAGTAAAAAAACGTGTATTTATATGATAGGCGACGTTTCGGGCAAGGGCCCTTTTTTGCAGCTATTCCACCAACAAGGAAGGAGAAACGTTGTCAATACTCACTCCTATTATTTGGTTCTTTCGGTAAAGTCACGTAGAAGGGAAATAATAAAATAATAATAAAAATATATAATAACATAAAATAAAATAACAAAATAACATTCTAATATTGCATTATTTTATTATATGATCTTATTATAATATTATATGATTTTATTATTTTATTTCATTACATAATATTATTTTATTATGTTTTATTTTTTTTATTTCATTATTTCCCTCCTACGTGACTTTACCGAAAGAACCAAGAAGACGAATCCCTGCAGTCACGGAAGCTTTAAATCGAGAAAATAAGTATAACCCGTAAAAACAAAGTTTTTCACTATAAATCCTTTATATGTGGCGGCTAGAGTCCTCTCGTCCTCTGGCTTGAGATGGCTGCCACCTATGGGTCATATGATTGTCTGCCAGTATTAAGCAATTGGTAATTAAATATTGTTTTCCCTAAACAGTGTAAAATTTTGGAAAAAAAATCTCATGTACATTAATTGTCTCGCACAACGAGTCTGTGTGGAAAATGTCAGCTCGATTGGATCACGGGAAGTGGGTTAAAAAACGACCGAAAGATTTGCACGGTCGTAAGCAAGCAAGCGAACTTAATTATAAAGGATTTAAAAATATACCGCGTCTCAATGTACGAATCGCGCCCTACGATTTCCGGCAGCTCCCCTTGGCTCCGTGGGCTCCACCTCACCCTCATCGAGTCTCCTGCTGCCTGTGGGCGTGACGCTTGCCCTACTGCTGCTCCTGCTGCTGCTGGCTGGGCTGCTGTGCCGCAGCAGTCGTGGCTGCGTGGCTGCTCGCCTGTGTCGCTGCTGCTGCAGCGGCTGCGTAGCCGGCACCGCGAGCCTCTGTCTCGCCGGGCCGCTCTGCGTGGCGCGGGGACGGATCAGGAGGAGACGGAGCGTGAGATCGGCCCGGAGCGGTGGGGTTGGGGGTGGTGGGGTGGTGTTGCCACAGCGGGGCCTGCACACGTGTAGATGGAGGAGGATGAGTTCGTGGTTGTCGGGAGATGTTGGGTTTGATTGACTCATGATTCATAATATAGGTTCTAGATTTGAAGCTTTCGTGACTGCAAGGATTCATACTCGGTAAAGTCACGTAGGTGATGCATCAAGATGCATCAAGATGCATCAAGATGCAGTAATTTTAGCTGTGACGGTCCCACCTGATGACGGTGACTTGTGTTGCCTCCGAAACGTCGTGATTTATTATTTTATTTTATTTCCATTATTAACTTTTAATTTTATTTTTGACCTACGTGACTTTACCGAAAAAACCTCAGAGTCATAATATAGGTGTTTGGGTCAGATCGCGTTATTTATAAATGTGTCGTAACCCTCCACCACCCGACACGGCCAATCAGTAAAAAATGTGTCACGTTCTCCAAGGGACAAATAATTCACTTTTTTAGCCCACCGGTGTGCTGTAGAGAGAATCAACAGCATTTAAAAATTTGAGCCTCCGTGTTAAATTGACTCATGATTGATGATGACACAGATCATAATGGGTGGTGGTGATTGGATGATAATGATGATATTAATGATTGGTGATGATGGTGAGGATGACCGATTAATTATAACACAGATGGAAATGGGTGGTGGTGATGGTTGTGGGGAGCGGTAGTGTAGTGGTTAGCGCTTTGTGGGGAGCGGTAGTGTAGTGGTTAGCGCTATGCTGCGCTAACGAACCTGGCAACGCGGGTTCGATTCCCACTCACGGCCAACACCGGTGACGCTTATCTGAACCGGTCCTGGGCCTCCCCTAGGTCGACTCGGCCTCAAATGAGTACCTGGTGCGACGTGTAAACATCGCCACTAGGGAGACAAAGGCGGCCGGGCGTGGTGTTGGCCACCCACCCCCTCGTGTGACGTGCCCGACCTTCATAGGTGCTCGCTAACAGCACTTTCCCCTACAGTCTGTTATACGGGGGATCTTTATATTTTATCATCATGATGATGTGGTGACTGAATTATGATGGTGAGGGTGGTGACGATAGGGTTCGTTTGATGGTGACGATGATGTGTGACGTCGACGACGACGATGATGATGATGGGGGTGATTCCACACCTGTCAACCCACCCAGTTTACCCCTTATTCTTATGCAAGGGAATTGAGTTTTCAGATTGTCAATCATGAGCGTGGTAACCGACTCGTGATGCTACACGTGGCAATCGATGGCCTTGCGATTTGAGAGTGGCCCGGTGGGTGCCTGACGACTCGACACGAGCGAAACCAGCAGGCGTCGCTGTTATACAACACAAACCCCACTATGGGAACCTCATTTGCCAGTAAAAATATGATAATTTGTTTTTTACCCTTCTATCTGGCAACAAAACTGACACCTTTTTACAAGGAGTCATGTTTGCGTAGACCGCAATACCTGCAGTCATAAATACAAACAAAATACATAACTCTGTTAATGTGCACTGTCCTTGAAGTTGATTGGTCCGCCAAAAGGCGTCATCTGGTCCAACCCATGTGAGACGAGGCTCTAAGGAAAGCTGTCTCTGGTGTGGACCAATCAACTTCAAGGACAGTGCACACATTATCAGAGTTGTGTCTTTTGTTTGTATTTATGAACTGCAGGTATTGCTGGTCTATGCAAACATGACTCCTTGTAAAAAGGTGTCAGTTTTGTTGCCAGATAGAAGGGTAAAAAACCAATTAACACAAACCCCATGACCACCCCCCACGACTCAGGCAGGGGGACTTTCATCCGCCCCACCTTATTTGTGTTGTGGTTGTTGTCCCCCTCCCCTCCCTCACCACCGAGTTATGATCTTGCTTTTAGCTTTAAACGTGAAATAAAATTACACGATGTTTTTGTTTTGTCCAGGTAAGGCCCACTGAGCAGTGTAGCTCTTTTCAGAAGCGAACTGGCCACCGAAAATGGGGTCAAATCCAAAAAACAATTTGAGTCTTCTTGGTTCTTTCGGTAAAGTCACGTAGAAGCGAAGTAATAAAATAAAAATAATAAAACATAATAAAATAATTCTCACGACGTTTCGGCCACAACGCAAGCAGCCGTTCTCAGGTGAAGACCAGGTCTGTCGGGGAGAATTATTTTATTATGTTTTATTTTTATTATTTTATTACTTCCCTTCTACGTGACTTTACGGAAAGAACCAAGAAGATGAATCCCTGCAGTCACGAAAGCTTTAAATCGATATGTAACAATTTGAGTGTCTTATCGTCACGTGGACATTTAGAGGAGTCAAATACTCAAGAAATGTAACACGAGGTTGTTTAAAGATCAACGTGAGTGGAGTGGTTCCCGATTTTGCAACGAAAAAAAAATCTCAAAATCAGCCCTAAATAAATGAATTTAGGACCATCCTGAATCAATATCGTTTTTTATAGCTCCGAAAGCGGAAGTGACGTCACTAATATGGCCTAAGATTGTGACGTCACACCGGGCGTCCTTCCTTCTGTCAGCAGACACGTGGTTTTTATTTCATAACAAGGCAATTGATCCGAAAATCTGAATTCAACTGAAAAATCAGAGACCTCAAATGCTTTAATCCGAAACTGGTCCCGAGTTTGTGTCCATCGCGCAGAAGTGTAAAGGTGTCTTCGGATTCGGTGTGGCTTTCCTGGATGAATACGTAATGAGAATTATTAATAAAGCACTAATTGTCAAATAAAATGCTGCTTCTTGTTATTTCAGTGTGTAGCCAATCGGCGACCGGGATGATCATAGGCTGTGGTGGGGTCACTGGGTGGTTGAGTGCCTGGATGGGTAGCTGGTTTGTTGGGTTGTTGGGTGGTTGGGTAGCTGGTGGTGTGTAGTTGTGTGGCTGGGTGGTTGAGTGGCTGCGTGGCTGGGTGGTTGGGTTGTTGGGTTGTTGGGTGGCTGGGTGGTTGGGTTGTTGGGTGGCTGGGTGGTCAGGTGGCCGGTGGTGTGTAGTTGCGTGGCTGAGTGGCTGAGTGGTTGAGTGGCTGGGTGGTGGGGTGGTTGGGTGGTTGGGTGGCTGAGTGGTTGGGTGGCTGAGTGGTTGAGTGGCTGAGTGGTTGTGTGGTTGGGTGGTTGAGTGGCTGGGTGGTTGGGTGGTTGGGTGGCTGAGTGGTTGGGTGGCTGAGTGGTTAGGTGGCTGAGTGGTTGAGTGGTTGGGTGGTTGGGTGGCTGAGTGGTTGGGTGGCTGAGTGGTTAAGTGGCTGAGTGGTTGAGTGGTTGGGTGGTTGGGTGGTTGGGTGGCTGAGTGGTTGGGTGGCTGAGTGGTTGAGTGGCTGAGTGGTTGGGTGGTTGAGGGGTTGAGTGGCTGGGTGGTTGGGTGGTTGGGTGGTTGGGTGGCTGAGTGGTTGGGTGGCTGAGTGGTTGGGTGGTTGGGTGGCTGAGTGGTTGGGTGGCTGAGTGGTTAGGTGGCTGAGTGGTTGAGTGGTTGGGTGGTTAGGTGGCTGAGTGGTTGGGTGGCTGAGTGGTTAGGTGGCTGAGTGGTTGAGTGGTTGGGTGGTTGGGTGGCTGAGTGGTTGAGTGGTTGAGTGGTTGGGTGGTTGAGTGGTTGAGTGGCTGGGTGGTTGGGTGGTTGGGTGGCTGAGTGGTTGGGTGGCTGAGTGGTTAGGTGGCTGAGTGGTTGAGTGGTTGGGTGGTTGGGTGGCTGAGTGGTTGGGTGGCTGAGTGGTTAGGTGGCTGAGTGGTTGAGTGGTTGGGTGGTTGGGTGGCTGAGTGGTTGGGTGGCTGAGTGGTTAGGTGGCTGGGTGGTTGGGTGGTTGGGTGGTTGAGCGGTTGGGTGGTTGGGTGGTTGAGTGGTTGGGTGGTTGGGTGGCTGAGTGGTTGGGTGGCTGAGTGGTTGGGTGGTTGGGTGGTTGGGTGGCTTGGTGTTTGGGTGGCTGAGTGGTTGGGTGGCTGAGTGGTTGGGTGGCTAGGTGGTTGGGTGGCTGAGTGGCTGGGTGGTTGGGTGGTTGGGTGGTTGGGTGGCTGAGTGGCTGGGTGGTTGGGTGGCTGAGTGGTTGGGTGGCTGAGTGGTTGGGTGGCTGAGTGGTTGGGTGGCTGAGTGGTTGGGTGATTGGGTGGCTTGGTGGTTGGGTGGATGGATGGGTGGTTGGGTGGCTGGGTGGTTGGGTGGCTGAGTGGCTGGGTGGCTGAGTGGCTGAGTGGCTGGGTGGTTGGGTGGCTGAGTGGTTGGGTGGCTGAGTGGTTGGGTGGCTGAGTGGTTGGGTGGTTGGGTGGTTGGGTGGCTGAGTGGTTGGGTGGCTGAGTGGTTGGGTGGTTGGGTGGCTGAGTGGTTGGGTGGCTGAGTGGCTAGGTGGTTGGGTGGTTGGGTGGTTGGGTGGTTGGGTGGCTGAGTGGTTGGGTGGCTGAGTGGTTGGGTGGTTGGGTGGCTGAGTGGCTTGGTGGTTGGGTGGTTGGGTGGTTGGGTGGCTGGGTGGTTGGATTGCTTGGTGGTTGATTAGGTGGCTGAGTGGCTGGGTGGTTGGGTGGTTGGGTGGGTGAGTGGTTGGGTGGCTGGGTGGTTGGGTGGCTGGGTGGTTGGGTGGCTGAGTGGTTGGGTGGATGGATGGATGGGTGGTCTAGGGGTCACCCACACTAAGCCGGAACCACAGAGCATCTAGGTCCGAATCCAGACAGCGGGAGCAAATTCAGGAGCGTATTGTGGGGAAGTCAACAATGGTTGTCTTACGGGGTGTCTCGTCGCCCCCCCCCCCTCCGGCATTCACCACGCCCCTGCCATAGGAATGTGGAATTTCCACCACTGCCTATGCCGGACTGTCAACAAGACACGAGCACTAATATCTCACTGTTCATTTGAGCAAGAACATCGCTTTAACGATAACAATTCTAAAAAAAGAAAACGCCATCACTTTCAATAAAAATAAAATCCGTAAACCTCATTCATTTCTTATTTTCTTTGCAATGCACTCGGGCGATAATTAATTTTCGTCCGAGCCTCATCGCACCCCTCGCCGTCAGTGAAATGGGTTGTGAAGACAACTTGAGTGCCACCAGCGCCACCGCCGATGCAACTCCCGCAGCAGCTCAGGGGCTGTCCATAAATGGGGGGGGGGTTTGTCAGACATTTGTGACGATACTCTTAGTTCTTTCGGTAAAGTCACGTAGGTAAAAAATGAAATTAATAAAAATAAAACAATAATAATAATTATTTTTATTAATTAAATTTTTTACTCACGTGACTTTACCGAAAGAACTAATACAAATAAAACAATAATAATTATTATTATTTTTATTAATTGAATTTTTTACCCACGTGACTTTACCGACAGAACTAAGAGTATGAATCCTTGCAGTTACGAAAGCTTCAAATCTAGAATCTGTGAGATGTGTGATGAGGGGGGGGGGGGTTCCGAAATATGACGTCACATCAAAATGCGCAACTTTAAATAAATATAGACAACACGTTCTACTTAATTAAATAGACTTTTTAATAAATGTTTTCTCTTAAAACATCAGAGTGCAGCGCCGCATTAAATACGCACTACAATGACAACAATAGTTTAAAGCGATTTGAAACTACCTCGCCGGGTTCACAGGAGGTCGTGGGTTCGATCCCAACCCTGACGCCTGCTGTGTATTTGGGGTGTGCGTGTTTCTCTCTTGCTCCCCGTGTTGAGATGTTAACTACCTCGCCGGGTTCACAGGAGGTCGTGGGTTCGATCCCAACCCTGACGCCTGCTGTGTATTTGGGGTGTGCGT